TGCAGTGAATTTTGTGAGTGCATCGCAGAAAAAGATCGCGTTATTCGAAAACGACGTCAGGCCGAATGCCGATCGTGCCGAAAGCGTAGTGCTGTGCGAGTTGGGTGCATTGACGGCCGTCGTCGCAGGCGCGGCATGCCCCGTTTGTCACGAGAGTAACTCGCAGTTCGGGCACCGAATAAAAAGCGGAAAGGCCTTTCGGCGTTTCTGGAGCTACACTGCGAGAATGCGGAGTGCTCGGAGAGCATCCTTTCGTCCGCGTACTCGTCGAAGCGGGTCGCGTCAGATGGCGGCCGCGGTGCAAGCAGAAGCTACGACAGCGGGAGTTCGCGTGACGCCTTTGCCGTGAACCTGAAAGTGGTGCTTGCAGCGCGTGCCGTCGGTATCGGGCATGAGCAACTTTCACGATTTTGTGGCAGTAGTTGGATTGCCAAACCCTATGCACCATAAGACCTTCCATGCTATCGGCAAAAAGATTCACAGTGCGGCAGTGAAGGCTGTCTGTGAAAACATGCAAAGGGCACGCAGCGTCACCAAAGAGGTGGCTGGTAACAGTGACGTGCCAGTCATGTTTGACGGCACATGGCAAAAAGAGGCCACAAAGCCACAATGGTGTGGGAACTGTAGTGTCCTTGGACACTGGTTTGTGCCTGGACTATGAAGTGCTTTCCAACTTCTGCCTGGCGTGCAGTTTGCATAACGACATGGGAGGCGATGAAGAAACATGGCAGGCGTTTCATCATCCCGTTTGTGAGAAGAATTGCGACTGTTCTTCGCATGCCATGGAGGCCGAAGCTGCAGTGCGCATTTGGCAGAGGACTGTGGACTATGAGACACCCCTGCGGTTCACCATCTTCCTAAGCGATGGAGACAGCAAGGCCTACAACGGGGTCTGTGATGCCAACGTGTACCCTGACACTCCAATTGAAAAAGAGGAGTGCACCAACCACGTGGCGAAACGTCTGGGCACCGGCCTGCGGAAGCTGCCAACGCCACTTCCACGAGGGGAGAAGCTGAAGGAGACCACCATCCAGAAGCTTCAAACTTACTTTCAGGTGGCCATTGTGAACAATCGGGGAAATGTCCACAAGATGTACACTGCCATATGGGCCTCATGTTTGCACTCGTGCTCAACAGACGGTGCTGGAAGTCACAAGTTCTGTCCTGCAGGCCCAGACTCGTGGTGCAAGCACCGACGTGCTGAGGCGCAGGGCCAGCCTGCACCGTGCCACACCCCCCTCCTGACCAAGGCCCAGGGTTTGGCAGTCCTCCCAATCTACAAGCGTCTCACAGATGCGAAGCTGCTTGCCCGGTGCCTCCACGGCAAGACACAGAACGCGGCCGAGTCCCTGAACAGCAAATATGGCTGCTGTGTCCAAAGACCCGGTTTGCTTCCCGGACTGCTGTGGAAACAGCCACAGCCATTGCAGTCCTGTGGTTCAACCGGGGCCACGCGAGCTTTGAAAAGGTGCTGGAAGAGCTTGGGGTGCTTCCTTCGGAGGCCCTGGTTACCCTCAGCGACCGCCGAGACAGCATGCGCATGCACAAGATGAATGTGCGTCAGACCGCTGAGGCGAGGGCACACCGTCGCAGTGCAGCCAAGAGGGCCCGGGTGGAAGAGTCCTGCCGCACCAGCCGGGAAGGGAAAACCTACGGTGCTGGAGAGTTTTAGACAACTGATATTCCCTCTGGACATGTGTGTATGTGTTCAGCACAAGTTTCGTGCTACTGCGTTTTCATTTTTGTAAATACAGACTTTCAAACTTTCAAACGCGTTTTTCTCATTTCGCAATTTTGGCCAATTTGCATTTTTGCGGGAAGTGTTTCGGGCACTTAGAATGGTCATACGACGACGAAATTTGGCACACACATTGAGGAGAGTGCGTAGGGTGCCGATATCTACTTGAATCAGCACAACCTATCAGCTGTAAATATCTATTAATAAATTTAATGGTGGTCGAGTGGAAAAAAAAGGGTAGTTTGCTACACAGATGTTTTTTTCATAGTTTCAAAGTTGGAGCACAATTTCTAGCTAGATATCGGCACTCTATGGCTAATAGGGAGCAAAAGGAGCCATTGAACAACTCTCTGCATGAACATTTAGTATGCGCGAAACTTCCCGGAAAACTTATCAAGTTTCACCATTACTTGAAACACAACTCCCAAACTATTGCACTTATGTAAAAACTGATTACAAATTTGGAATCAGGAGGAAAAACTGCATCAGTGGTCCAATTTCTGAAGCTCTAAGTTGAATAACAAAAAAAAAGTGCTTTCGAGGAGCGTCTCCCCTTAAACGAGCGTTCCAGAAATCGGGGCGCGTTCTCTTGCTGTGTGCGCAGCTATGAAATTAAGTATTATGTCTCAGTATTAGGGACGACGGGGAAAACTGAACAGAGTCGCAGCACGTGGTGCGCTGCCCCCCCCCCCTCCCCTCTTTTTTTTTTTTTCACAGCTGATCGTGTCCCGTACACCGTGTGCCTCGACGGGGACGCTGCACTTTTGCTAGCTGTGTCAGCACAAGACATATCGTTCGGCCTCGTGTACATGTGACGAATAAACGTCCCAAGGCTGGCTAATCGGGGTACGTCGGATATGCTACAGCTATATACGCCTAGAAGGCTGCTTTATCGACGCAGTTGGAGCGAATTAAGCGCGACTCGCGCGTACCTGTAAATGGGACCCCGCATAAGCATTCATTATTTGGAATTCTGGTCGTTTGTGCTTATTGTGGGATGGGTCCTGCAAGCGACGGCGGCTAGTCGGCGGGGTCCTATTTACAGGTACGCGCGAGTCGCGCTTAATTCGCTCCAACTGCGTTGATAAAGCAGCCAAGCTTCTGGGCGTATATAGCTGTAGCATATCCGACGTACCACTATTAGCCAGCCTTGGGACGTTTATTTGTCCCATGTACACGAGGCCGAACGATATGTCTTGTGCTGACGCAGCTACGGGAAGTGTAGCGTCCTTGTCGTGGCACGCGGTCGACGCGGCACGATCAGCGGTGAAAAAAAAAAAGAAGTGGGAAAGGGGGGGGGGGGGCAGCGCACCGCCTACTGCGACTCTATTCAGTTCTTCCCGTCGTCCCTAATACTGAGACGCGATCTCCTAATTGCACAGCTGCGCATACAGCAAGAGAACGCGCCCCGACTTCTGTAACGCGCGGTTCATTGCGTTAAATACGTCGCACACACACTCTCGGACAAGTTCATCACACTCGCGAAATGCACGGCGGACGACGCGTCGTTGATTCCCTAACTCTGAAACACGATCTTATTAATCGCACAGCAGCGCACACAGCAAGATAACGCACCCCAACGTCTGCAAGGCACGGTTCATTTCATTAATTAAAATGGCCTCTTAATTGCACAGGAGCACAAAGCAAGAAAACGCGTTCCAACGTCTGCGAGGCGCGGTTCATTCCGTTAGTTAAAACGGCCAGCGTCGCTCATGCACTCGCAAAATGCACTGCGGACGACACCAAACCCTCACGGAGAAGTAACAACTACAAGAACAAACTTTTCTGCCAAATTTGGCAAAAGTCTGGCAACAATTTATGCAACGCCAAACAGAACCTTGCCAACTTCACAGCATATCCACGGAGTGAATGATAATGAGTAGGGCGAAGCTTCAGAGGGTTTTATCGATATGCCGTGAGTCGTCCGTCTGCTGGCCGCGTCCGTCCGTCCGCCTAGTGAACACGTGAGTGAACACTTCAACTATTCAACCACCATCGCATCTTCTCATCATACGAATGGATGGATAGATTGATATGGCTGTACAAATGATAGTGTATAGGTATGCTGCTAGAATCTAGCCACCATAGTATAGGTGTTCTGTGGCTGTACCCTTTAGATCGGGCGGCGGTTAACACCACTTAGCCGTAATACTTAGTGAACCAAAAACTAGATTTATCTTTTTTTTCCCCCTTTAAATAGTGAAGTTGCTATAAGCCGCTGGAATATATGCCGCCATTCAGCGGGCATTCCAAGGACTAAACGAGAGGTGGCTACCTACTACTACTACTACTACTACTACTACTACTACTACTACTACATATATCAGGGACGCACGACTCGTCGTGTTTTAGGGCCACACGACTCGAGTAATTTCACTTGCCTGCATCGAATATCACTTAGCGTGATATGCGTAGAGAATGCAGCGGTGCAACGTCCGAAATGGGATTTGGAGCAATTTTCGGAGCAGCAAAATGTTACTTTTGGAGCGCGGAAATGAAATGCAAATGTGAAGCAAATCTACGAAAAAAAAAAACCGTTTTAGCAAAAAAAATTTCAACTTTGCACCAGTAAAACAAAGAAGGCTTACAGAAAATGAAACAAATATATGTACGAACCATTAGACGTCAGCTAACTTGTGTACAGTGCAAGTGAGCACTGGCAAACAGTATACTAACTCCAACCGAGGTAAAGTGGGTGAAAATACGTAAGAACCCGACTTTGCTTTGGTTCGAGTTAAAATAGTTTTTTTTTTTTAGTTTACCTACCCAACCAGACAGACATATGCCGAATGTTTACATTCAAATGAATACTGCCATTTCAAAAAAAAAAAAAGGCCACGCGCAATTACATGCTTGGCTGCAAATGTCACCGAAAGACGATAGCCTCCTGCCGGCCGTACTACACGAGTCTTGGTGTCATCCACTGCCACCCGTAATGCTGTTCTCATACAATTTCCGTCGTGGCATGACGTGTGCAATGGAGGCTTTTTTAAATATATTTACTTTTACCGCGTTATCATAGGCGTGCGCACGAAAACTCGGCTCTACATACATTGAGAAAGCGGGACGCAATATCTGCCCCGTGCATTGTGAAGTGACGTTGCGATCCCCCCCCCCCCCCCCCCCTTCAACCTCGAACGGGAAGCCTGCGCACGCATTATCACTGCTGGCATGCCAATGTGTGTTCGTACTTCCACGACAGATGTCAGCAATGTTTGGGTTGCGATACTATTTTGCTAAGAACCATTCAAGAGACATATATGACTGTATTTTATTGCGTGAAAGGGTCAATCGCTTTGCGCATGTACTGCATGCGCCGAAGTGGACGCCGTGCTGGGCTTGCTTGGCCTCGCGGTGTTGGGCAGTTCTGGCAGCAGGGGCGCTTTCGGCGTCTCGAGGTTTGTCTCGCGGCGTGCTTGCTTGGCTTCGCGGTCCTTTGCACGCCTACGGGCGCCCTCTTCTGGAGTTTCTGTCCCACGCCGGGCTCGCATGGCTTCGCGGTTTTTCGCAAGCCTTTGGGCGCGCTCTTCTTGACTTTCCGTTTCCAGGCGTTTCCGGTGTGCCTGGATGATCTTGGCTACCCGTACGGCGTGAGCTTCGGGCGTTTCTTCCGCCCGGCGCGCTCGCTGAGCCTCTCGGTCGCGGGTGAGTCGCGCGTCTCGCTCCTGGTCTGTTTCCTGCAGCCTCCGGGCCCGACTCGACTCGCGAGCTTTCGCCAGCCGCAGGGCTCGTGTCTCGGGCGATTCCTGGGCACGTTGAAGACGACGGGCGTCGGCACGCCGGCGCTTTTCCGCTGCAATTTGCTCGTCGGTCTTTACCTTGCGTTGTCTGGGCATGTCTTCTTGGCCTTGCTTCACACAGCGCCTCCTAGCTCAATGTTGAATGGGCCGCGTCTGGTTGATAAAATGGAGCAGACGCTGCATTACGCTGCGTGATATGAACGCCATCTGGAAGGCGACATTTTTCGTGGCTGACACGGCCGCTAGATAAAAGGGCTGGCTGTCGTATTAGAATGTTTTTAGTGGCGCAGCCTAAACCGGAGTGCCATGCAAAATGGTTCTTTAATTTGATGGTGTCCCCATACAATAAAGAACCAATTTAAGCATAAAGTAGCGGCGGCGCTGGCATCGCGTGCACTAGAACGCGCAGCCGGGCAAATGGAACGGGCTAGAGGAGAAACGCGCCACGCACGAACGACTAACGAGCGCGTCTCTCACCTGGTCTTCGGCAGTGCGGTGGGGAAAATTCGCATGCTTGGGCGTATAGTGAACTAAAATGTGTGTGTCTGTGAACTGTGCAACGCTGAGTGACCTAAATGGAAAAAAAAAAAGCGGCGTTTAATTGTCTGCTTCGCGCCCGGGTGCAAAAGTGGCTATGCCCGCATGAATGAGAGAGATATATATATATAGACTTTATTAATTTCCGGCAGATTGCTGGGATGGGCTCCCACCTAGGGGCCAACGGAGAGACCGTGTCTCCCGGCAGCTTCCTTGGCCGGCTGGATCGCCCAAAGTTGTTTGTCCAGGCCCGAACTGAGCAGCGCAGTCCACCAATGCGCTCGAAGGTCTTCATTGGAGGCCGCCACCCCAGAATTTCTGACTAATGCTGGACATTCCCATAGGATATGGTCAAGAGTGGCTCTGGTGGTACAGTACTGGCATAGATGAGAACTATAGACATCGGGATATATGTGGTGCATAATGACAGGGTTCGTGTATGTGCGTGTCTGTAGCTGCCGCCACTGAACGGACTGGGCCCGATTTAGCTTGGGGTGAGGCGGAGGGTACTCCCACCTTTGCAGTCGATAGTGTTGAATTATGTCATTAAATTTAGTGAGCCGATCGTCCCATTCCCACACCGGCGCAGAAAGGTTTGTTTGGGTGGCCGCTTCGTCTGACGTGACTCGGAACGTAAGACCTCGAGCCACGTTTTGCGCCACTTCATTCGGACTGGCCTCCGCGTTACCTATTGGTGTGTGGGCAGGGAACCACAAGATGTGTACGTATTTGTACACCTCGTGAATTTTGCCTGTACTAAGAATCCGCAATGCCTCGGGGGAGATTCTGCCGCTGGCGTAGTTTCGAACGGCTGTCTGCGAGTCGCTGATTGCGCATGAGGCGTTAGTGTGGGCTATGGCCATCGCGATAGCCACTTCCTCTGCCGTTTCTACGTTCCGTGTGATGATTGACGCGCTGCTTTTGCATTGTTGTGTGTGGTCTACGAGAGGAGCCACGAAGCGGTGACGTTCCTGGTAGCGTGCTGCGTCGACAAAGACTGCCTCGTAGTTGCGCTCAAACATCTACTGACATGTCTGCCCTTGTTGTGTTCAGGGTGCATGTTTCTTGGTATGGGTGGTACTGTTAGCTTAGCACGGATAGTGCGTGGTATGTCGTGTTTGTCTTCGTGTTGAGTGTGGTAAGAAATACCGAGATTACATAGAACCTGGCGGCCTGGCTTAGTCTTGGCTAATCACTCGAATTGGGAGATTTGTTGCACCTCAATAAGTTCCTCAAGGGTATTGTGTAAACCAAGTTGAAGGAGTAGTTCGGTGCTGGTGTTTTGAGGCAAACCTAGCACTTGTTTGTAAATTTTCCTAATTAGGCTGTTGAGTTTTGACTTTTCCACGGTGAACCATCGGTGGTACGCCACCGTATAGGTGATGTGACTTAGAACAAATGATTGGATCAAACTGATGATGCTGGCCTCTTTCATGCCTTTGTGTTTATTGGTAATGCGCCTAATTAGGCGCATCGTGTTAGACACTCTGTGACTTAGAACAAATGATTGGATCAAACTGATGATGCTGGCCTCTTTCATGCCTTTGTGTTTATTGGTAATGCGCCTAATGAGGCGCATCGTGTTAGACACTCTGGCTTCAATGTTGCGAACTGTCTCTCCGTTGGTACCTTTACTTTCTATGATCAAACCTAGCACTCGGATTTTGTCCACGGGGAGTATGGCGTTACTATCGCTTGTAGTGAGTTTTATATCAGCGTGTGCATGCGTTTGGGGATGTTGTTTGGATGGCCGACCTCTAAGTGTAGGGCGATATAGCAGTAGCTCAGATTTCTCCGCCGAGCAGGATAGTCCAGTTCCTTGTAAATACCGTTCGACTGTGTCAATCCCCTCCCGTAATCTTTGTTCAATGGAACCGTCACTGCCGTCGCACACCCAGAGGGTGATGTCGTCGGCGTAAATGGTGTGATGAAGTCCTTGGATGGTTTGAAGTTTTGAAGGGAGACCAATGAGGGCTAGGTTAAACAATAAGGGAGAGATCACGGATCCCTGCGGGGTGCCCGCACTTCCTATGGTTATTTCGGACGACCTGAGTGCTCCCACAGTGATCGTGGCCATTCTGCCCGCAAGAAATGCCCTTATATAGTTGTACGTGCGAAGTGCCAAGTTTAGGGTATTGACCTGATTTAGAATAGCGCTATGCGTGACAGAGTCAAAAGCCTTCTTGAGATCAAGACCAAGTATGCCCTTAGTGGAGCGTCCGGTACTGTCTATGATGTGATGCTTAAGCTGCAACCGAGCATCCTGCGTTGAAAGATGCCTGCGGAAGCCAATCATGGTGTGTGAGAAAAAATCATTGTCTTCGAGGTAATTTGTCAGTCTAGCCAGGAAAGCGTGTTCTATCAATTTGCCTATGCAAGATGTTAAGGGGATGGGCCTAAGATTGTCGGTATTCAGTGTTTTGCCTGGTTTCGGAATCAGAATCACCTTGGCCGTTTTCCAATGCGGGGGCAAGATTCCGGTGTTCCAGCAGTTATTAATATAGTCTGTGATATGCGTGATCGACTCATCGTCCAAATTACGTATTATCTTGTTCGTGATGTTGTCCGGACCTGGTGCAGATTTGGTGTTAAGTTTTTGTAGGGCGGCACGGATATCCGCTTCGGTGAATTCTTCGTCTAGAGTGGTGTTGACCTGGCCCGTATAATCTGGATGCTGCTGAGTAGGAGCCTGAGAGATATATTTGAGCTCTGCCTCCCTAAGAAACTCCTCGTCGGTGCCCTTGTAAGCATGTATTAGTTTGTTGATGGTTTGTCATTGGGCGGTTTTTCTGTCTTCTGGATCAAGCAGGAACCGTAGAAAATGCCATGTTTTACTAAGACTTAGCTGCCTGTCCATTGCATCGCAGGTCTCATCCCAGTGTTGCCGGCTTAGCTGTGTTGCATACATCTCTATCTCTGTGTTGAGGAGTGCTGTGCGTTTCCTGAGGTTTCTGTTGTGTTTCTGTGTCTTCCACCTCTTTGGAGCGATTGCTTTGCCTCCCACATGTGGAGGAGCCGGCTATCGATCTCTTCGAGGTGTGCCTCGGGAGGTACGATTCGGGTGGCATTATTAATATCCTGTTTAAGCGTGTACATCCAGTCCTCTATGTCGCTGATGGGTTGGACCTTGTTCTCACGTGATTTGCGGAACTGGGTCCAGTCTACCAACTTTAGCTGTTTTCCCATGGGTTTACATGGGCCACCTTGAAAATGTACCTCGATGATGTAGTGGTCGCTACCCAGGTCCTCTAGGGTATTTTTCCAGGTGGCTGCTGGTGTGTTTCTCGTGAACATCAGATCAGGCGTTGTGTCTTTACTGGAGCTAGTGCCCGCACGTGTGGGTGTGCTATTGTTGGTGATGAGAGTTAATCCCTCCTGCTGCGAGTCAAACCAGAGGGCCCTACCTTTAGGAAACACATAAGAGTATCTCCAGGCAGTGTGTGGTGCGTTGAAGTCCCCTGCTATTAAGATGGGATTTTGGCCAGCGATGTTGAGGGCGCGTTTAAAGAGTGTGAGAAATCTGTGCATTTTTGTTTAGGGTTGCTGTATATGTTTAGTATAGAAAGACTTTCGTGTGTCTTGCGTTGCGGAACGAGTTCAATAAATATATTGTCTATATTGGTAATTTCCGTGTCGTGTTGCGTGAACGTAAGGTTTTGTCTAACTAGGGTGGTAAGGACAGTCGTCTCCCCGTTAGCATGTCCTATCGAGCGGTAGCCTGCCCATTTAGCGAGACAATGTGTCTCCTGCAATAAAATGATATCGAGCTTAACTTTCCATTTAACGTAGATCTCATCCAAGCAAGATTTGCTTGCTTATTCACGTAGCTTCTACAATTCCGTTGCCAAATTGTGTAGGCGTGATTTATAGCTATGATGAGACGCAGGGGGTAGGATTGTCGCCGGCTGTATCACACTGAATGCCGACGAGGAAGGTTGCTTTACATTCGCTGTGGGGTCCAGTTCGCTAGGTGGCAGAGGGGTGATTCTAGCCTCCACAGCGATGAGTCGGTGTTGTAGGCGTTTGGTTTGTTTCTGGGTAATTTTAGCTATAGTCTCTACGCGGTCAGTAAGGGCTGAGATCAGTCGGGATGCGTTGCTCATCTACTCATTTAATTCTTTGACTGATTGCTGAACTTCCTTCAGGACTTTATTCTCGGGCGTCACGCGTGCGGGTTTGTCTTAATTGGCCTGGGTCTCGGCTCTGCGCTTGGGAGGTGGTGGTGTTGTACCTTCCTCCATTTTTCACTGGGTGTAACAGCTGAGAGCGGTGGTACTACTGGTGGAGCATGTTTTGTTCTTTTATAGTGGTGTAACTTCTCCTTGAGGGTCCTGTTTTCCTCTCCTAAAGCTGTCATTTTCTGGTTACATTGTGCTAACATCTGCTTTAACTGTGCTATTTCAGCCTCTAATTTATCAAGTTTGCCTTGAGAAGCGGCCTCCTCAGACCCCGAGCGCGCCCCCTTGACTACGTCTACCCAGCCCACCTTGAAGGTTGCGCCAGGTCCAGGTGTACGGCTCCGAGATGTTGACTGCGACCGGGAGCGGGGCTGGGAGCGGGGCCGGGAGCGGGGCCGGGGGCGAGACCGCGACCAGGCTT